CAGGACCGAGAAGCATTATGTTTATGGGTCTGGCCTGGAAGACCATAGCACATCTTATTGGCCAACACTCAGTCATGGCACTCAGTCATGTGGTCATATCTAACTAAAGGGAAGCCTTAGTCTAAGAAATGCCCAGAAGGAAGAAGACTTTAATGGCCACATGCTAGCTTAGTCTGCCACAACCACTTCATAGTCTGCAAGGGAAATTGTTCCTGAACAAACCTCAAGCCTACTTTAATACTAAAGCAATTTAGATACTAATTAACTCACCTCAACTCATCAACTGTTATCTCTTATGAACCACATCCTTCCTCCTTCCCATTTCCTTTTCCTTATAGAATGAAGCAATAAGGTCTTCCAGCTGAATGGTTGCAAGCATAGGAAGCCAGAAGGAAAAACCTTATGTTTCCAGCTAGTTTTTTTGTCGTCAAGAATTGTTCAAATTATATTGCCACTAAATTACATCTGGCCTGGCTCTCTGAGGCTGAGTTGCAGCTGAATACAACACTGCAAAGCTGTTCCAGAGCTCAGAATAATTTCACTAACTTCCACCTCCCAGACACACCCATCATGGAAGATTCCTTTAGCCTTTACTACAAAGACCAGTGGGATTTAGACAGTGTCTGTTTGGCCAGGAATGGAATCCTATTTTTGCAATCAAAGACCCTCTTCCCCCATCACTCTGGATTTGGAGCTCATGATGCCTGGAGATCAAAAAAGATTTTTTAATCTTTAATTTTACTTTTACAATCTTAATATTAAAAAACAACTATATAAAAGAACTCTGTGCCCAAGGGGCAAGCTCAGTGATAGAGTGATCACCTATAGTACACAAGGCCTTGGATTCTATTCCCAGTGACAAGAAAAAGCAGGGAAGAGGGGAGAAACAAAGAGTTTATGTACCAAGTCCAAGTCCCTTCTTCTTGAAGGTTAATCGTTTTATGTTAAAAACTCAGAGTGGGATGTGCATATCTCTGTCCCCTAAATGTAGTTATGATTTTGTGCTTTAAGAACTTGTCCTTTCCAGTTCCCATTTCCAGTCTGGGCTTTGATTTCATATGTGATTTGGGTGGAGTTTTCTCTTGCTAAAAAGTTTCTCAAATAATTATAGATCCCAAAGGTTTGGCTTTGATATTGTATGGGTTATTAGTTCACTCTATCCTTTTCCTTCTTGTAACTCTGGCAGTATAATACACTAGTTAAGAGGATAGACTTGGAGCCAAATTGACTAGGCCCACACTTTGGTTCTGTCCATTCCTATGATAGGCTGGAAGAATAACTTTTGGCCCACTGCTTAGTCTTTATGTGTTTCAGTTTTCTCTCATGTATAATTAGAATAACAACAGTATCTATATCTTGTGGTGGTTGTAAAGCTAAGTGAATTTACATGAAGAGAATGCATAGAAAAGGAGATAGCTTGTGGTAACTATTCACCACCAGTATTTGTGACTTGGGTAAGCCATTGTTCACTGTGTAGCAGATAATTTTCCTAAAGCAAAAATTGCCACCATGGATCTATAAATGGACAGACACTTCTTGCTTGGGCTATAGAGTTCCTCGGTTTTCACAAAGGTTGGATAATATTTTCAGTTATCTCCTGTGAGCAACTCTGTACATCACCTCAAAGTACTGCACGGGTTATTATCATCTTTCTATGTGTGACAAAGCAGAAAACCACAGCCATAGACGTTTACTACAGATTATGACCCCAAAAGAGAAGATCTCATTTTACTGAAGTTAAAACAGCAACGAGCAAGAATATACGCATTCAGTTTTCTGGATACTGCATTCAGACCCTTCACTTCTCCCACAGGATCCTAAGAAAACTTTTCAAGACAGAGTGTCACACTAGAAGAGAGAAGTCTACAAAATGCTGCAATTTCTTAAGCATTGATCTGAAATTTTCTTTAAATGGTTCCTGAACCAGGAACAGTGCAGAGACTTTTCCATTTCCAAGATGCCAGAATTCATTCTAAAGCTGATTGTGTTTTCCCTGGAAGCATGCAGAGCTGCCTCTGCTCTGGTATGAGACTGACTCTCACAGCCTCGGAATCTGTGAGCTTCACCGCACCTCTGTGCTCACACTGATAGCCACATCCTCCAAATCTCCAACCCTAGCTCCTCCACATCATTCATCCCAGCAATAAATCAGGTAGTGCCACCTCAGTTACTCATATCACACACATCAAAAGCAAAGTATGTGGACAAACTGTCCGCACGTGTGAGTTTGTAATGTTCAGAGTTGTCGTATATAATAAGAATTTACCACACACTCAAAAATGTCAATTTCTTGAGCTTTACCTATATGCCAAGCAAATGCCTTTAATGTGGTTTTCCCTTCTTCTAAAATGGAAAGTACATTCTTTAAAGGACAAGGAGTTACATATTTTCATAACCCAGTTCCTTAGAACTACACTAAATGCTACTAAGCTTAGTCCATTGTCTCTTGCTGTGAAACCCAAGAAACCCAAGGTCAGGTAGCCACATCTGGTGAGAGCCTTAAACAGCATCATCTGATGACAGGAAAACAGAAAAACAAGTAGGTGAGTATGGAATAGAAAAACCAGAAGGGGGAAGACTGGTATTACAATAAGCAATCTCCCACGAACTAGGTTTGAGAGAAAGAACTCACTAGCTGCTGGTAGCTCACTCCTATAATCCTAGCTACTCAGGAGCTTGAGATCTGAGGATCTTGGTCCACAGCCAAGCTGGACAGGAAAGTCTGTGAGCCTCTTAACTTCAATTAGCCACCTTAAAACCCGAAGTGAAGTGAAGCTATGGCTGAAATAGTAGATTGCTAGCCTTGAGCAAAAAAAAAAAAACCTCAGGGAAAGCACCCAGGCCCTAACTTCAAGCCCCACAACTGATGAGAGAGAAAGACAGACAGACAGGCAGACAGATAGGCGGATGCACAGACAGATGAGAACTTATTTCACAGGGAGACTTAGTACAGTGACATGAGAGTATTATTCCTTCCATGAAGAAAGATTCAGCCATTGTGAATATCCAAGGGTATTCAACCTCCCAATATTTGAGGCTATGACACATACGCAAGCTATGGCAGGAGTCTTATAAGCCTCTGAATCACTGTCGACACATAGACTATGTATTAAATAACTCTTTAAATGGTTGGTATGAGTATTTACCCTGAGTTCTTCCAGAAATAATAGCTAGGAAAATGAATATTTCCCGTTTAGAGGTGATAAGACTGACCACCAAATCATATGCCCTCCAATCAATGGCCCTTTCTTCTCCATTATACCTGCTCCAATTTGGTTCTAATAATTCATATGACTCATTCATCCAAGAATTTTTAAGGTGCATTAAAATACGCATTTTAGATTGGGAATTTTCTTTTGATTTTATGTAGAATACAAGAATGTTGCAATATTGTTAGGATGAGTGAGATACACAAAGCTGCTGTCACTTTTGTACATGATCAGAAAAGGAAATGCCCTTCACCAGCTTATCATTCAGTACTTTTAGATTTGAATTTCTAATCAACTCCACCTTAAAATTTTCTCTAACACTTTTGTTTTCAACTTCGTAGTTCTAGGGAAATGTGTTTTTAAATAATCATGTTAATAACTTAATGGGTTTGATGTTTTATGTCAGAGTGAAATTTAGTTGCCAATTTCACACCAGTACACTTAATACTTAATAATGCTGTACCACGAATGAATCAAGAGGATTTAATTTATCTGCCTTAATCTATTTCGTTTGGTGTTTTAACTCCTCATTTTTCTATTGAAAGTCACTTTTTACACACTTATTTGCACCAAATATGTTAATAATAAATGCTACTGCTTAAAGTAATCTAACTATCAAGTAATAACTAGTGGTAAAATCAAATATCATCATTATTTGCAATGAAGGTTTTTTAACCATAATTTTCAGATTTTTGTGGTTTCAGTGAGGCTTTTTCTATTGCCATTTGTCAGTTTTAAACAACCTAATGTTAGAATTTTAATATAGTATGAGTAAACACAAGCAAACTCTCTAGCCTTAAATTACCATAGCTAAATTCTAAATTTCAGTATACATGGTTTCTTTCTTTACTTATTTTTTATTGTGAAAATACCATATAAAGTGGTTACAATTACATGGGCAAGATAATGAGTACATTTCTTATCAAGCATTGTTGCCTTTTCCTTTGTTTCCCCTTCCCATCTCTTCCCATCTCTCCCCCCAACCCCCACCCCTGGCCAAAGTTGTAAAGTTCATTTTCAACATAACAACTTGTACATCTCATTGTTGCAATGGGTCTACCTGTATCCCTGTTTAAACAATATTGTTTTTCCCTTCCCCTCCACAAATTATACCAACATCAAATGCAGTGAAAGCAGGGGTTATACTGTGGGGGAGGGACATACAAAGCAACAAAGAAATCATCTTATAAATACGTTAGAAGCAATTGCATGAAAGAAAAAACATTTGAATACTTATCTTGGAGTTCATTTCCCTAACATCAACTTCTCTGACCTTTTCTGCTTGTCTCAGATATACTAGTTATTGCAAATAAGGGAAACCATGGGACCTATGTTTCTTTGGACCTGGCTTACTTCACTTAATATAATTTTTTCCAAGTCTTTCCATTTCCTAACAAATGGGGCAATGTCATTCTTTCTGATGGAGGCATAGAATTCCATTGTGTATATATACCACATTTTCTTGATCCATTCATCTACTGAGGGGCATCTGGGTTGGTTCCATATCTTAGCTATGGTAAATAATGCTGCAGCAAATATAGTTGTGCTGGTAGCTTTAGTGTGGTCTTGTTTGTGATCATATGGGTAAATACCCAAAAGTGGGATTGCTGGGTCATAGGGGAGCTCTATGTGGAGTCTTTTGAGGGACCTCCATACTGCTTTCCAAAGTGGTTGAACAAGTTTACACTCCCACCAACAATGCAGTAAGGTTTCCTTCTGTCCACATCCCCTCCAGCATCTGTTGTTATTAGAGTTCTTGATTATAGCCATTCTAACTGGGGTGAGGTGGTAAAAAATATAGAACGCTTCATGAATTTGCGTGTTATCCTTGTGCAGGGGTAATGCTAATCTTCTCTGTATCGTTCCAGTTTTAGTATATGTGCTGCCAAAATGAACACACTATACATGGTTTATAAGTGACTACCTGATATATCAGAAAGTAGAAACTGGAGAGTGAATCATACATTGTTTTCTGTTTCAGGTATGCCTACAAACTAATTCTGTGACCTTGTAAAAATTCTTACCTTCTCTGAGCCCTAATTTTCTTATCTGTCACATAACAGTTACTACCTGGAAGATTTTTATGAGGAGTAAATATAAAACCACAGATCAAGCACCAAACAAGCACAGTACCAGCCTGCTACTAAGACAGTTCACAGATAACAGGTCTTCCTTTGTCCTTTCTCTTCTTTAATAGAAATCTATCGGCTTTAGAAACCATAGTCTGAAAAGCAAATGACAAATTGATCAAATAAGTGCTACTAATTTGCTGTATGAATCAAGGGAGTATATGTGTGTATGTGTATGTGTGTGTGTGTGTGTGTGTGTGCAGGAGAGAGTATGTGTGTAAGGAAATAAGCTACATATCACACTAGAACTTGATTTGCCTTTCTGGCAAAAGCTGCTCTTATTAAATACCTTCCATTTATTTTTATCTCAAGCATCCGTTCAAGGAAATGTTCATTTTTCTTACAAAAAGGCTGTTATGAATTATTAATCACTTAGCAAATTCATTAGATCATGTCAGTGTTACAAACCCAGTGCCTTTCAAATATATTAGCTACCTAAATTTTACAACTTTGACACTGACTCTCAGAGAAAATTGGAGATTTTTTTTTCCCTTCTAAATTATTTCTTTATTGTGTGCTTTGGGAAACTAATGGGCAGTGAGTTTCACTCTTTTTTCAACTGGAATTTTCCTTTAAGACATTCACTAAGAATGTGTGTCACGTCTGCTGTGATTTGAAAATCTATGACTCTAGGAAAAAATGGTATTTTAAATTATTTCTACTTCTCCAATATTGCTTTCAAAGAAGGCACAATGAAAAGAGTAGTGAATTTTAACGCACCCGTGTTCACAGGGCCAAATGCTTTGTTTGTAGCTTCGTGTTCTTTGGTGGAATTTTTTCTTTTTTTGGTTTGTGTGTGTGTTTTTTTTTAATCTGTCCAGTTTTATTTCTGCGTTTTACTGAAATCTTACCAAGTTTTTGGTGTGGGCTTCAGTGCTTTATATAGACCCATTTTGTTCTTTGATCTCCTGCTTTCGTCCTCCAGAGTTAAGTGGAGTTTGGAACTAAATCCTCTTCACATTTTTGTCTTTGAATGGATGGGAAGCTCGAGGCAGTTAAAGTCTAAGAAAAAAAATACTTGAAGTAGCTGATCAAGTTTTACATTGTTCTAGTATATATACATATATATGCTATACTATATACTCTAAACATATTATATATTCATATAAACTAAAATATGTGTATCTATAAACATTATTCTATTAGAGATATGTTTTTAACTAGCTGGAATTGATATGTTTCTTCTTTATGATGTGTTCAATAACAGCAGCTGAATTGATCATTATATAAAATATACAACTATGCCATCTCCCATTAGAATTGTTATTGAATTTGAATAAAAACCTAAATTCCTGTCTACCTATTGGTGATCACTTGGCTACTCAGTAGATAAATCCTCTCCCTCTAGAGAGAGAGAGAGAGAACGATTCCCACTGCATGGAAGCATACATGCATTTCTTCTCTGACCCCTGGCAATAGCAAACATACCTGTGACCTACCTTTGGCTGGCGGAACCCCTCCAAACAGAATTCTGAGTCCTAGAAGAAGTCCGTACAGCTGTAAACATGGTTAAGAAATCACTTGTAGTTGGGACACATTGGCAGCATGAACTCTCCAGTAGGTATACAACACCATCAAGAATCACAGACACTGTTTCACCTTTCAGCATTCTTAGGTTTCTGCTCATTTCCCAAAGTGACTTTTTTCCATGTTTTTCATCAGTTATGGATGCTACTCACCACCTTAAAATCAATTCACTTCCACATAGGATAGTCACTTATGGTTATCACGACATCATATCTTAAACCATTTTGAAGTACTGAAGCATAGATTGGGTGATTTATAAAAGAATAGTATTTTACTTCTCCCAGTTTTAAGAGCTGAGAAGGTGGAGATCACGTCACTGACATCGGGTGAAAGTTCTCTAGCCTGGCTGTTTTGTCACATAATAGAAGGTAGAACAGAACAGTAAGAATAACTTATTCTTACAAGCTGTTTATTGGTATTCATTAAGTCCTGAGAGCTGAGCCATGTTGGTCTCTCCAAGTGCCTCACCTCCTCAAAACTGTTGCAATTGAGGATTAGGTTTCCAACACGTGGATTGGGGCGGGGGGGGGGGGGGGGGGGGGGGGGGGGAGGAAGAGGGACACATAACATCTTACCATTGTTGGAAACAAACTCTGACTGACACACATGTAGCCTGGGAACCCTCCTGTTTATAGAAGTCTCCATCATGTCACTGTGTTCCCGTACACAGGGCTCTTTTCAATCTCTCATTTCTTTGCACCTTCTCCTCCCTCTGCTGAGAACTCTTTTCTTTCTTTGCAAAGGGAGCTAGTTCTTTTTCTTCTTTGGGGTCTCAGTTCAGCTATCATCCACTTTGAAAAACTAATTCCACAAGCAGTGGAGTTGCTGACTCTTGCCACATTGCATCCCTCTTTTTCTTCGTCCTTAGCAGGCAGACAGGTTCAATACATGACAACACTTCATTTCTGGGGATCATAAAAATAATAAACCCCATATTCTAAGATCATAAATGAATAAAAGAATAGAAGTTTTTATATATATGGCCATTAACACTTAATCTTAGCATATATTCACATGCAAAGAGCATACATGTCTTTGAACATGAATTTTAATCAGCAAGGTGTAAATCTTGCATTTTGTATAGGTCTTAGTACAGGCAGGCATAATCTTTAAACCATAAGATAAATTATCTAGAGTCAGACTTGAACACTTGAAAATAAGGAGGGACTAGACACTAAGAAATATTTGAAATTCTAGAATTTAGAATGCATGCTTTGATCTGAACATTATAAACTTTATGCCAAAGAATGTTCTCTTGATATTTATTTTAGTGCCAATGAAACAAAAGACTAATGTCTCAACAATCTTTAGCTCCCCTATAGAAGAAAACTTAAAAAGGACTTCTGTTGGGGTTTTTTTTTTGGTCAAAGCAATACGATTACAAGATTCTTACATTTTTCTCCCATGCTTGGGGATATTAAAATGAATATCTTTCAGAGTGTAAAATTGAAAATCCTGAGACTTGGGGGACACTGAATTAATCTGTGCTGAAGAAGCAAGTAAAGATGACAGCAGAGATTGAAAGATACCCTTGGCTTCCTTGAGACCCCAGTGTGGTAGATATATATCATAAATATGATATGTATATTATATATGTACTGTGGGACTTTAGCACCGAGCCTCTGGAAAAGGTATGATAGCAATAGGCAATAGGCATGCTAACGAGCATGATGCTTTAGGCACAAGGCCCATCTTTTTGGAATAGAATATTCTCCTCTCTGAAGCAGCATGAAGAGTGTCTCTCTGTACTTTGTCAATTCCACTTCACGTCATTATGCTCTTCACCCCCATCATTAAAGCACTGGTATGCAAGTGATCATTCCTAATAATAGGCTCTCCACGATTAGAAGTGGGCCTTTTTTCATTTTTCACCAAATTATGAAATAGCTTCCCATTATAACTTATGTTCTGTATACTCCAGCCAAGACTTTGCTCTCATCTTAAAATGCTCTGCATTAAATGGGCCTCTAATGTATAATTTTATTGTTTGAGCATTTCATTTTCTTTTTTTGATTTATGTTTCTTTATAGCTGGTTAGACAGCTCTTTGTGATTTTTTTGATGAAAGATTCTACATAAATAAAATTGACTGAGAAGAAAGGCCTTCGTGGTAGCATCAGAGAATGCTCGCTGCACTCTGCGAACTTAAGGTCAAGATTCAAATCTCATATGAAAGAGTCAAACCATGCTCTCACTTTCCTCCTTTCTAATTTTTCCTTTTAAAATCCAGGTGAAAGTTAGCAACCTTATCCTATGCTGGATTTAAGCAACGGTGTAAGAATGATGGGTCCGTTTTAGATTTTTCTTTTCACCAAAATGGATTGAGCTGGAGTAAATGAATGACTGGGTCAGTAAATAATTACAACAATTATACTGGGCAAATTTAATACTGAAACTTTAAAAACCAATAATACAGGTGCCAAGGGGAGGGTGAGGGAAAGTGGGAGAAAATGTTCAACAAGAAATGTACTCATAGCTAGGCACCCGTGACTCATGCCTTAATCCTAGCTATTCAGGAGGCTGAGCTCTGAGGATCACAGTTCAAAGCTAACCCAGGCAGAAAAGTCTTGAGACTTTTATCTCCAATTTACTACCAGAAAACTGGAAGTGGCACTGTAGTTCAAGAGGTAGAGTACTCGTCTTGAGCTGAAGAGCTCAGGGACAGAGCCCAGGTCCAGAGTTCAAGCCCCACAACAAACAAAAAAAAAGGAAAAGAAAGACAGACAGACAGACAGACAGACAGAGAGAGAGAGAGAGAGAGAAAGAAAGAGAAAGAAAAAGTCAGAGAAAGAGAGAAAAAAGAAAAAAATAAGGTACTCATTACCTTATGTAACTGTAACCCTTCTGTATATCACCTTTACAATAAAATTAAATTAAATTTTAATAAAACAATGATACATATTTAGTATTTAGAACACCCAAACAAACTGGTGCCTATCTTCTTGCAAACTGACAGCTACCTGAAAACATTGAGGTCTTATTATTTCCAAATTCTAGCATATTTTAAGTGTTTCCCTTTTTATAGCTTATATTTATTTTTTAATCCCAGGTAATCAGCTGGTTTTAATTATTAATGAATCACAGGTGCGACCTCTGCACGTATTCTCATCTTCATGAATGCCTTGATGACTAATTTGTGAGTGAGCAGAAGCCTCCATAGTTCACAGAGAGGTTTGCAATAAACTTTAGAAAAACAATTCTATTTTCCTAATGTATTTGTAGTTTGTACTTCTTCTAAAACAC